CATGCTGGAGTGCAGTGGTGTGATCATGGCTTACTGTAGCTTCAACCTCCTGGGCTCAAAGCAGTCCTCTGCCTGGCCTCCTGGGTAGCTGGGACCATAGGCATGCACAACCACACCTGGCTAATTTTTGTATTTTGTGTAGAGATGGGGTTTTGTGATGTTGCCTAGGCTGGTCTTGAACTTCTGCCCACAAGCATTCCTCTCACCTTGGCCTCTCCAAGTGCTGGGATGCAGGTGTGTGCTGCTGTGCCTGGCTTGCTCTCTTTTCATTACATGTGTTTCCCCCAATGGATTTCTGTTCTTTTTTTAAAAATAGATGGTTAATTTTCCTATTGTCTGTTGTTGATTGCTATGTATTAAAATTCTTTTGGCAATTTTGATTTAGCTTTTCTTCTGAGGTTTCACTGTAACTCATTTCTTATCCTCTGGTTGCTGTTGTTGTTATTTTCTTGTTTCCATTAAACTAACATATTTATGGAGCACCTACTATATTACAGGAATTATCCCATAAGCTTGGGCTGTGACTGCAAAAAACACTGACCCAGGTCTCTGACCTCATGGATCTATTTATTTCATTGAGGAGCCAGATAATTAATAAATATATCTAGTTTATATAATGGTGGCTGTTGAGAAAAATAAAGCAGAGTAAGGGGATGGGGTATAACCCATGAAGGTGCATTGTTTGCTCCCAGAGAAGCTGTGTTTATTTCCTCTGTTGCTTGTGTAGATCCTATAGATGCTTGTTGAATCTGCTGTTATTTTAGTTTGAGAGCAAATTGATTTCCCAAACTAATTTATAGAGCCTGAGAAGGTTTTATTTGTCCAAGTCTTCTTAGTTTAAATGGGACCTTCATTACCCTCACTTCTTGGCTTTGAGGTATGAGGGAATTCTGAAGTTCCCAGGTTGATCATCTGCATCAGTGTCTTTCTACCTCTCCCTCCACCATATGCTGCTGTGTTGTCCAAGCCGAATATGTATCTCTAAATAAGGATTCTTAAAAAAAAAAGTACCACGATCTTATGAAAAAAACAACTTTTAATATCACAAAATATTCAGTGTTCAAATTTGTAATTGTCTCATTTTGTTTGAACTGGGGGCCGAATAAGTTCACACATTATTTTTGGTTATGTCTTTATATTTCTTTTCATAGCAAGTTTCCCTTTTCATCTGTCTTTTTCTTCTTTTCCCTCTCTCAGTGTATTTATTGAAGAAACTGAGTGGTGGAGTTTCCCACAATGTAGATTTTGTTCGTTGTATCCCTGTGTGGGGTCATCTTGTCCTCTCTCCTCTGTATTTTCTCTACATTGGTTGTTGGATTTTAGAGCTCATGAGTCTTTCGGTGAGATCTTAGAAAAGTTTGTTTCAGGGGCTAGAAGCAAATTTAATCTCTCATCTCAAACAGAAATCCTGTCTACAATACCCTTATCTGAGTGTTACCCAAACTTTGCTTGAATTCTTGTAGAGATGGGGGCATTCCCTTCTTTACACGAGCATCGCTAGTTAACAGACTGCTACAAGTTCAAGCTCTAGCATCAGGTAAGTTAGCTCTTTATCAAGCACTGTTGTTATCTTAATTTTACAGATGAGGAAACTGAGGCAGGGGCCAGTTTGGTAAGTTGCCAAGTGTTCTACAGCTGGTCAGTGGTGGAACTGAGATTTGAACTTTGTCAGATTCTGTAATCTAGTCCCATTACACTTTTCTGCTTTCCGGTTGGACCTCCTGTGTTGTTACTCTGGTTCCCGAAGCTCATTCAGCTTCAACATAGCATTTTATTTGCACCAATTAACTGTGATCATGTAAAATTTCTTTTCTTCTACCATTGAGATATTTTGGAATCTTGAATCTACCATGGAGTATTGTTTAAAATCATTGAGTGTATTTAATTTTATTAACTTACTACCCTAATCTTCATCTTATCCAAAAGAGTATCATGGAAACTTTTTAACTGTCTTGGTAGGTAAGCTCCACGAAGACAGGGAGTTCTCTTTACAAATATTTCCTTAGTATCTGAAACAGTGTGGGCACATATGAGTAGCTCAATAAATACATGCTGATTGAATGAATGAATGAAGAAGGTACACAAAGCTTTAATTATATCAATCAAGTAGTCTGGTTACTCTTTCCAAAAACACAATGTTTTGTTTTTTTAAATAGCTAATCATTTATACATTCAACAATTACAAGGCCATTCAGTAATAAAGGGGGCTGTTGAATGAACAAAGATTTCAAAGTTGGGATTCTGAGTGATGATTGTAGTCATGTTACCCTCAGCTTAGTTTGTTTCAGCATTTTGTTTGGATTTACAATAGCTAGATAATGTCCCATAGAGATGCACTTGCAAACCTTAACTGTTTTGTTTGTTTGTTTGTTTGTTTTTTCTTAAAAAGTTTATCCTGAGGTCTCTGGGTATTTTTTCATTAACACTAAAACTTGAAAGAGGAATAGGACATTTTTGTTTCAAAGTGAAACTCTTAACATTATCTACTATCTTATCACATATCTATTCTTTTTGTTTTTTTTGATAAATCTTATTTTATTCAGATAGCAGTCTGATCACACATGGTCCAACAACACTCAAATAATAAATCAAATATAACCAGATGTTAAAGATTGGTCTTCAAACATCATAGCCAATGATGCCACGCTTGCCTATGATCTCTCCAACATAAAACCACATCAACACCTCAGTGGCCACCAAACCATTCAGCACAGCTTCCTTAACTGTGAGCTGTTTGAAGCTACCAGTCTGAGCACTATTGACTATTTTTTTCAGGCTCTGAATAGCTCTAGGGATCTCAGCAGGGGTGGGAGGAACCAGCTCAACCTTGGCGTAGTACCAAAATGTGGCCAATCAAGGCTTCGAGTAAGTCACAGCAGCATTCACCAGAGCTGGGGTCTTCTCAACAAGGTTACGGACAAATTGGGCCATGGTTCTGGAATGCAAAGTCTGTCGCCCGGAACGGCCGGCTGAATGTCACCCCCACATATCTATTATTGATTGTGAAGGCTGGACAAAAACTGCTGATTGACAACAAATGTTGCACCTTGCTACTCACAGTGGTATTCTTCAGCTAGCAGCAGCAGCAGTGGATGTCACCTGGGAGCGGTAGAGATGCAGAATCTCAGTGCACATTTCACATGTGGAGTCCATTTGCATTTTAATAAGAATGCCTTGTGATTTAAATACACATTAAACTTTGAGAAGTACTGTCAACTTCAGTTAGGAGTATGGTGGACCTGAGCTTCTGAACTTCCACCAAGCTCTCAGATAATGCTGTTGTGGCCAGTCCATGAACCACACTTGGAATAGCAAAGTGCTTGTCATTTTATCGTAGTTAGAAAGTTAGGCAATTACTTGGATTGACTCTCAAGTCATGACAAGAATACATATGCAGCAGGGAGTGAGCCTGGCAGTTATTAAGCACAATGCAGGTATGCTGTAATGCTGTACTTACTCCCATGTATAATATTTTAAAATATATATGTATGGGCCTGAATTTTAAAAAATATTCTGGAAAGCTTCATTTTTTCAAATCTTGACACATTTCAATAAGTTCAAATATGCCAGCCTGGGCAACATAGGGCCATCCCATCTCTACAAAAAATACAATTAGCTGAGCATGGTGGTGCATGCCTGTAGCACTAACTACTTGGGAGGCTGAGGCAGAAGGATCACTTGAACCCAGGAGCTCAAGGTTGCAGAGAGCTATGATTGCACCACTGCTGTCCGACCTGGGTGGTAGATCAAGACCCTGTTTCTACATTTGAAAAAAAGAAGTTCAAATATATTCCCAGATCTTCATAAGAATGAACTTTCCTGGCTCCTCAAGCCAGTGTGTTTGAGTGTTTGCATTTCCAGTTTTCAAACTAGTTAAAAATACACTTCAGAAGAGAAACAATTATCCAGGACTCTGGAATCTCACATTTTGAAAACCACTGGTCAAGGAAGAAGACTGTGTTTGCTACTAACATATTGTTGACTTTAAGCCCAGAGCTTAGCCTTTCTGAGCCTGTCTCTTCATCAGTCAAATGAAAGAATAATCTCTCCCTTCTGATGAATTCTTAGCTTCCATGCTTCTGTGACTTGCTGTGCAGCCTAGTAGAGCTTTATAGTTTCGTTAAGTCCAATTTCTTGATTATAGAGGTTGCTTCACCTAGCAGTTTAAAGTCAAAGATTTGAGCCAGTTGATAAGGATGTTTCCTTGAGCAAGTAGCAACCTCCAGGTGAGGATCTGTGAAATGGAAGCAATACTAGTGCTTTTCCTGGAGGGTTGGTGTGAAGATTAAATGAGTTAATGCATGTAAAGCACCTACTCTATGTTGTTCATCATATGTTAGCTGTTGTTTCTTTTGCAGATGAGAAAACTGAGGTTGGAGAAGTAAAGTGATTTGTCTGAGGTTCAGTATTCAGTTAATTATAGACCTGGATCTAGAAACTAAATCTGATTACTGATACAGTTGCTGAAGTGCCCGTCATTTAAAGTTAAAAACAAATTCTTTAAAGTTTTGGCTGGTCAAATAGCTCCCCCTCTAGCCACACCGCTTTGTTGATATATTTTCTTAATTTTTCATTCAAATGATTTGTGATCTGGACGGTGTTTTAGATTTAATAAACTTTTATAGTTTATTCTATATACTGGGGACATATGATCAATTTTTGAGTTTTTAAAAATCTTTTCTAGAGAAAGATTTAGTGTGTAACTTGACTATGTCTGTTAACTATTATTTTTTCCTTTATGATTTTGGATTCTGAGATAAGATGGCTACTTGTACTGTTTCTATCATTTTCATTTTGCAGATCAGTTTTTGATGTTCAGAATTAAGACCAAGAGCAGCAGTTTCTCTCATTGCTTATTTCTGTAATTAGGTGTGAAATTAACAGTAAGGTTGGTCACTGAGCAATTTCAATATGGCATTTGGTTTTATAAGTGTTATGATAAGCTCACTTTGATTTTAGTTCTTAAATTTAACTTTTTAAAACCTTTTCTTCTCTTGCAGTTGAAAACAATCCTCGAACAGGAAATCTTGGTGCACTGATTAAGGTCTTCCTTTCTAGAACCAAAGAACTAAAACTCTCAGCAGAATGTCAGAAGTAAGCTGGCTAATTAAACCATGTTTGCTTTATATTTAACAATGTGAATTTTAGTTTTCATTCATTGGTGGAAATGGACTGTGGTCTTTTGAAAATCTCTGTGAAGGAATTATTATTATTAAGGAAAAAAGGTAAAAGAGTTATTAGGTTAGTGTCTTAAGTCACTGGGGTGAGATTATAGATTTTGGAATTTGATTTCAGGTTTTTAGACAATCTTTATATGCTTTAAGAAGATGAGTAATGATGTAATTATCATTAAGAAGGTAATCCCCCCCATTATCACTGCTGCTGCTATCTAGTTTAAATGATGACTTAGTCTGAGTTTTATTTCATTCTACATCTGTTGCCGTTATTTCCGTCATATTCTTTACATCAATGAAAGGTTAACTTTTTATGCACTGAAGCATTTTTCAAAACCATGTTTGGGTGTCAGTCTCTGAAAAGATTAAAAGATTTTGCATTGTCTTGCTTATAAACAAATTACATTGAATCCAATGAAGTTTTTCTTGGGAGTTCATGGTCATTAATACAAATAAAAAGTATTTTACTGTGCTGCAGGCAGTGCCTCATTGAAAATTTTGGTTACATATTTGCATATATTCTTTTTATGTTACCACAATTTTTAAAATTTTTTTTGTAGCCTTCTTCTCTTTTAATTGCCTGTATGTGGTATACCTGTTAAGAACAAAGAACAGTTGTTCCTACAGTCATCAGTAAAGATTTTTATTAAGTAGATTCACTATGTAAAATATGTGGAATGAACTATGAAGTAAAACATAATATCGCTGGTACAATGTAATAAATCATGAGCCATTAAAATATATGGACATTGTCCTAATATTACCAATTAGGATGGACAAAATGGTTGACAGATCAGGAAGAAATAATGAACTAGAAATAAACCGTGATGCTAATGTTTAAATATTGATTCTTGTATTATTTTGGTCTTTCTAGCCACATCTTCATTTGGCAGACACACAATGCTTTGTTTATTATTTGCTGTTTGCTGAAAGTGTTCATCTGTCAGATGTCGGAAGAGGAATTACAACTTCATTTTACTTATGAAGAAAAATCTCCTGGCAATTACAGTAAGTATTGTTTTTGAAGATGTTCTGGATACAGCATGTGTAACATTATAAGGATAAAATTTCAGGAATAAAAGTATAATTTTGAAAATTCCAGTTATCCTTATAATTTTCATTTTAAAATGAACTTATACTGTCATTTTTTCTTTTTCTGTATTAATTTAAATGAGCCAAGACTCAGAATTTTTTTTTCCTTTTAAATAAGAAAGCTGATGGGGTTGAAACTTTCATTTATTTTGACTTTCATGCATGTGGATGAAGAAGAAAGTAACATAAAAATAAAACTCACACAAGATTTACTTCTTTCAGAAAACAGAGGTGTCAGTTTTAAATATCATTGCCAAGTCAATGTATTATTAAGGGAGCCAACTAGTCGGATTTTATGTTAAAGGTTACTTTCATAGAGTGCAGCAATAGCTTCTGGGTCTGAGTGTCTTTGAGACTACAACACTTTATCAGAAGTAACATTTTCAAGGACAGTTTTATGATGCCAAAATGTGTCATCTTTTTCTGAAGATATAGGGAAAGGTTACGCTTCACACTATCTTTCCTTTCTGAGGGCAAGGCAGTGTTGCCCTGTAGTTTTCTGAGTTCTGTTTTCAAAATAGATCTCTACCCTCATCAGGCTGACAGCATCACCTGTGTGATTCAAGGTCATATGTTACCATCTCTTGTGGGGACAGGTATTGGGAGAGAACTTTGTGATGTGTATACTTTTCATGGAGGTCTGTGTGCTATGTGGATTTCGTGTATATACATAATCACACTTAACTTTCAAAAACCAAGAGTAATTTTTCACTGTGGTTTCAACTGTGGTTGCTAAATTCCTGTTTTTAAATGTCAAAGTCAAATATTGACAAAGGGAAACAAACGTATAAAAGAGTTACTATTCATCTAGGTCAACTTCACAATGTACTGATTTTTCAGTATATCCATGTCTATGGGGAATATTTCTTAAATTCTGTTATAGAATTTTTATTTTTATTTTTATTTTTATTTTTTTTGAGATGGAATCTCGCTCGGTTGCCCAGGCTGGAATGCAGTGGTACGATCTTGGCTCACTGCAACCTCTGTTCCTGAGTTCAAGCAATTTTCCTGTCTCAGCCTCCTGAGTAGCTGGGACTACAGGCACATTCCACCATGCCCAGCTAATTTTTGTATTTTTAGTAGAGATGGGGTCTCACCATATTGTCCAGGCTGGTCTTGAACTCCTGACCTCCAGTGATCCACCCCCCTTGGCCTTCCAAAGTGCTGGGATTACAGGCGTGAGCCACCGTGCCCGACATAGAATTTTTAAAAACAATATTATGGGGAAGTAGAAAAGATTCTGTGAAAAGTTAACCTTTTGTGCATTCAAGCATTTCTTAAAACTATTTTTAGATGGCAAAAATCTTATGGAAATTCTGGTTATATCATTTAAATATATTAAGGTATTATGTTACATTTTGAGCAAATGAAATGACATGATACAAGAAAACAATAGTTTACAATACTTTCAACTCAATTAGCAGAGTGACCGTGTGTATTTATCTCTTCTCCCTCTGAAACCCCATTACCTGATGGCAGAGGAATTTTCTACACATACTATCGAGCAACTTAGGACAGTCATTTCATCCTTCTTTAGGCTCCTTATGGCCTCTTTTGAGATCAGGAAACGGTTTTGGAGAAATAGAATATGAATTTCTGTTTTACTGCAATCTTTTCCTCAGTGTATTTCCAAATTAGAGAAGGACATTCTTCTTGACTCACACTTTGAAAATACGATTTTACCATCTTCTAACATTTTAACATCTTTTCTGTGACTTGATAGCCATTTGGCAGGTTCATGTCCAAGGAGGCTATTGCCTTTCATTTCTGTAAGGTCCAAATCTCACTAAGTTCTGCAGGTTTTGAGGAAACTGAAAGGTGGCAAACATTACAGGGCAGGAAACCACTGCCTCATAGCAATGCTGTGTGCAGGGCATGCAGAACATTTAGCAGGCAAGAGCTCTTCATTTTCTTTGGTTAGAAGTTTGTAGACTGAATGGAATTTGCTGCAGTTTACATATGCCCTGTCCCCAAATATGCAGATAGATGAGCAAACTCTCGTTTGTGCTTGAACAAGATATCAGCAATCTTTTGTTTTCTGTTTATGTGGAAACATTTTTTTTTCCGTCTACTGATACTGGACAAATACAGGTTGAGTGTATTTAAATTCAAATTTCATCCTTGAGAGCGTGCTGAATTTAAAATATCACAATTAAGTTTGTTTCGTAAGTGTTCTAAAGTTTCTTTCCAACAGATGACATTGTTGGCTGGTTGCAGGGAAGCAAAATCATATGTTCCACTTTTCTTTGAAAGTTATTGTATTAGGGTTCACTAGAGGGACAGAACTAATAGCATAGATGTATATATGAAGGGGAGTTTATTAAGGAGTATTGACTCACATGATCACAAGGTGAAGTCCCATAATAGGCCCTGTGCAAGCTGAGGAGCAAGGAAGCCAGTCTGAGTCCCAAAACCTCAAAAGTAGGGCTGACAGTGTAGCCTTCAGTCTGTGACTGAAGGCCCAAGAGTCCCTGGCAAACCACTGGTGTAAGTCCAAGCATCCAAAAACTGAAGAACCTGGAGTCCAGTGTTTGAGGGCAAGAAGCATTCAGCATGGGCGAAAGATGAAGGCCAGTAGACTCAGCAAGTCTGCTCCTTCCACCTTCTTCTGCCTGCTTTATTCTATTCATGCTGGCAACTGATTAGATGGTGCCCACCCAGACTGAGGGGGGGTCTGCCTTCCCCAGCCCACTGACTCAAATGTTAATCTCCTTTGGCAACACCCTCACAGACACACCCAGGAACAGTACTTTGCATCCTTCAATCCGATCAAGTTGACACTCGATATTAACCATCACAGTATCACAATTACGGTTCTACATTTCATGGCTAAAATGTGGATAACTTTATTATTCTTGAATAAAGCAAGCATATCAATTTTAGCAGTTTTATTTGCTGTCATCTTTTATTTTCTCTTCTGTCCCAGAAGACCATTTCATGAAAAGTCATATATTGTTTTGCCCAGTTTTGAGTTAGTATGAATTACTACCTCATTAACTTTGGGGGATGGGGGGAAGGGGATAGGTACTGAAATTATCTTTGATGCTGTTAAAAAAATGTTAAATTTCAGATACTATACCATATTAATTTATTAAGTAAAGAATACATTTCTATAAAGGGTGAATAAAATGGCAATGAATATGTTTGTGTATGTATATATATATAGACACACACACATATATATATGTATTTTTTTTTCTTTTAAAGTCCAAGGCAGGTGTAGTGTGTGTGTGTGTGTGTGTGTGTGTGTGTGTCCTTTCCCCTTTCCCGTTTTGTAACTGTGAGAGCCCCATGTGTTTAGGGGCTGCCCCATGAGTATTTCCCTTGGATAAAAATGTTTACCTTGTCTTCTCAGGGGAAACAACTCTCCAGTTTCATTGTAGATCAGACATTCCTTTCTTGGATTCTGTGCTTTCTACTCTGAAGTAATTCCTGCTGAACTTTTGAGATTCTGCTCTAAAAAAGATAGGCAGCCTTTTTTTTTTTTTTTGGAGACAGAGTTTCGCTCTTGTTGCCCAGGCTAGGGTGCAATGGAACGATCTCGGCTCACTGCAACCTCTGCCTTCCAGATTCAGGTGATTTTCCTACCTCAACCTCCCAAGTATCTGGGATTAGAGGCATGTGCCACCATACCCGGTTGCTTTTGTATTTTTAGTAGAGACAGGGTTTCACCATATTGGCCAGGCTGGTCTTGAACTCCTGACCTCACGTGATCTGCCCACCTTGGCCTCCCACAGTGCTGGGATTACAGGTGTGCTCCGCTGCGCCTGGCCTGGGCAGCCAAATTTTATTGAAGCTACCTTTCATTAAGCTACCTTGGAAAAGGGAGCTGAGGCACAGGAAGCAAACTAAACTGTCCTAATATTTTTAGAGATTGAGCATTTGTCACTTCACCAAAGTTTATTTCAATAATAAAAGTCCCTTTGACTCCACATTTGATTAGTGGTACTGGAAAAACAGGTATTTCTCCTTCTTCCCCCTAAACTTTCACAGACAAAATACATTTTCTGTCTCTTTCTCAGTCACTAAGTAGGAAAGGAACATAAGTCAAAACTTTCTAAGTTGTTTCTGAATATAGTTAGATTTTTTGCTGGTCTTGATCTTCTTTTGGGATTGATCATTATGTTCTCTGACTACCATATAACTGTATGTTATAGTATAGACTTAATCAAGGATTTGAGAAAGTTAACTAAGTTGGTGTGTGAGAGATTCTGCAGAATTTTGGTATTTTGAATGTTATATACTTTGTTTTTTTCTAGGAGGGAATGTTTACAAGAATTATATAGAATTGAATTAATTTAATGTAACTATCCCCAACACTCCATCATCTTTCACAGTTATCGTTTATCATTCAGCAGTGATTTTCAGAGCTTGTGCTTCATACATTGAGTTTGAGTTTCAAGAGAGGAATATGTTTAATTTACTATGTTGATAATTAGCCTTCTATATTTGTTAAATATATACTGATGTCTAAAGTTAGAGCTTTTAATTAGAATTGTGTCTTGCATGTGTTAGTTTTGTTAATGCTGGCCTTCGTGATTGTGATGCCAGCAGTACCAAAAACATAGTTCTGCTTGGCAAGTTGCAAACCTTCCCACGAAGTGCTAGCAGCAAGAATGGAGTGAATGTTTATCCTCACAGGGCCCAAGAGCATAGCCCACTCAATACCTGCAAATCCAGCACTTTGTTTTGTATTATGTACTATAAAATATGCATATTTTATACTTTATTTAACATGATATTGTCAGAGGCATGGGAACCAGAACAACTCCATCTTGAATAGGAGCTAGGTAAAATTAAGCTGAAACCTACTGGGCTATATTCCCAGACAGTTAAGACATTCTAAGTCACAGAATGAGATAGGAGGTTGGCACAAAATACCAGTCATAAAGACTTTGCTGATAGAACAGGTTGCA